AGCCACATGATTCACTTGCTGGGTTCTTCACTGAGCGTGCAATCAACGAGGCGCAATCGAAGCAGAAACTGACCAGTGCCAAGAATATGGTGTACCATCGTGAGTATGAAGACGTTGGGAGTGGATTGAGACTTGGCAGACAAGATGATCGGGAAGCATGGCGGCAGTTTAGCGCTGCCGTGCCCATAGAGCCCGTGGAACTACATTAGCTCCTTGACGAAGGATATCGTATGGCACCAACGCAATGGATCGATAATGTTAGAAATAAACACCTCCGCGGGCCCGGATGGCCGCCGTTTGCGCCGCAGTGCAAGAGCAGACTCGTCGTGCGAGGACATTTAGTAGAATCGCTGAGCGCGCGTGCGGATTTGCCAGCGTGCGAGCTTGAGGGCCTAATATTCAGTGCGTCGTGGGCCGCGGGGGCACGGGGGGCTCCGGGGCGCGCGAACATCGCGTCTGCTCGCTTCCAGGGGCAGGAATTAGAGCGCATCGCGCTGCTCAAGCCACCTCCCGACGGACTCGAGGGGGCACCGGGTGGTGGAGGTCTCATCGCGCGCGCGCCTGTCTACGGCGCGCGCGGCGCGGGAACAGGCTTATGGGGGGTCATCCGCAGGACATTCAAGCTCGCGGACTCGAAGAGAACCGTTCTATGTCAGCTTTATTCAGCGTGCATAATGATCAGAATGAAATTACCCGTGCGCCAGGAACACATGTGGGCGACGTTCTTTGGGCTGCAGGCGCAGAAAGTCAAAAGGTAAAAAGTTCCGTATGAGCAGAATTCGGCACGCGCGAAACCAAGTCGGGAAATGTCTGCCCCTGCGTGCGGTAAGTTGTTCAAGACGCGGATTGTGCCGTCAGTGCATCGGCTACGGGTAGAATTGAGAACATCGACGCTGCAACCTATCCCATGGACAGCCCTCCCTCCAGGAGTTGTAACGATGGAGAGATATCTCAGCTCGGGTCAGTTGCAGGTGCTCTATCTTGGGTCACGCGGCAGTGCGAGCCTGAACTGCTGCATCGCGTGAGCCGCCTGCAGACTGCAGTGGGTCGCGCGAAGGTACTCCACTTCGAGGAGGCCAATCGTGCCTAGGAGGAAACCACGCAGTCCGCAGATCGTGGATTAACGTTCGAACGAGATGCAGTGTTACGGGGCTCAGATGCGATGAAGCTATCAGTTACTTGCGCCACCTGGGTAGTTGAAGATGATATAGCCAAGGGAGATGTTGAGCCGCTCAGGTATCAGAGGGCCAGGTTTAACGGACTTGCTGCGCCTGGATTCATCGAAGGGAGCAGCAACAGCGTTCACCCATAGGCGCGTCAAGCGTCAAGTAAGGTCATTAGACGAGCATGTAAGTCTTGCGCTTTAAGTAGAGACATTGACATGTTTATGGGGTGTGGAGTCTGGTGCGCGCATTCGCGCTGCCATCGCCGACGCGCGGGGCACGCTCGGTGCCGGACATACGTTGCCGACCAATTTGGAGGGGAAGGCAGCTGTGACAGCGAGACATTCGTGCGTGACTGATTTCAATTGCCTCGAGGAACATTTGATAGCGCCCATTATAGGGAAAACAGAAGGCAAACTTTAAGGATAGACCTATGTAGTCTGAGGCAGGACATTTGGAAAAATGGGATGGAGAAGGTGAAATGCTGCATCCACGCTTGCTTTGTGTCAACATTCGCTGGATTGGCACGAGTGCATTGGCTGTGGATTGTCCTACAGACGGCATGCCTGCTGACTTCCTCGTTAACATGCTGCGCACAGGACCATATAACGTAATTCCAGGCCCAGAGTCGACCTTGAAGAAGGTAAAGAAGCAGCTGGCGAGGGCCAGAGTGAGCATTGTCCCTGCAGGGAAGTGATGTTACTGCGCACCTTGAAGTGATGTGACTATCCGGCAGGTCAGTGGGCCGTTTGTTGTCCCCGCCGCGCGGCCGATCAGGTCTCGTGCGTGCCGTTGTTTCTGGCCACGGGGGGGTGCGATTTGCCCGCCGCCTGCTGGCGGGGATTTGGAGCTTCAGTTACGTTGCGCACTTGAGTTCCAGATGGTTGGTCGACGTTTTTCCCATGGCCGGTTCTTTAATCCCTTGACTGCTATCCCGACTGGGGATCCTCTGTCTGTTGCCTTTGGAGGCTTACAACGATCAGCGTGACTACGCGGTCCACCGGCTAGTTCGTGACAGAGTTTCACGGGTGTGATATAGACCATGCGTCACGTGTGACAGCGCGCTATTCGCTACCGTTTGACCTCTAGGGCCCCATGTTGTCATTGCGCGAACATGTATCATAATCACAAAAAGGGATTAAAAGGGGGCAGGGAAGGGGGCAGGGAATGAGAAAGAGGGGAAGAAACTAGGCAGGCAAGCTAGGTGCGCAAGCGTCATATCCGATGTCTGACCCCCGCCCCTCATGTCTTACCATGGCGTAGATCTCCGCTTTATTCGCACAGTCTGATGTCGAACAGGGCAATGATCCCGAGAATGTACGCCTTGTGTGGTAGAACACGACGTAGCATACCAACGCATCGAGAGCAAGACCCATTTCGACATCGAGGTAAGAATGAAATGCAAACGGACGGGGAATTCAAAAGCACGGTTCGGGAAGTGGGAAGTGCAAAATTAATCAGCGTTGCAGTGGGAGCGCGATGTCGAAGGACCGAGACGATGGAAATGAAACCAGCGTGCACGATCTGGAATTACTGGAAGTTGTTGAAAGGAAGCCAACGCTGCAGCGTAGGTCAGCGCTACAGCAGGAACGTGATTCGGAAGGACTGAAAACGGGAAGGCGGAGCCAACGTTGTAGCGGGAACGCCTTTCTGAAAGGATTGAGGACCTTTGAATGGAGAAACACACATGCGTTATTAACCCGGCGGCATCTGGTTAAAACAAGAAAAGAAAAACGCGGAGGAGGCCAGGATTCCTCACCGGCGTCTTCGGTTGATAGAGTAGACTAGTATTCACAGTGTGTGAATGTTGATAGGGGATGTACAAAAGTTGGATGGGGACACCGATGAGGGGCGGTGAGGGGGATGGACAAAACCTCAGGACGAGAGGAGGATCAAGAGGTGAGGTGTTGTGTTGGGGGTGGATGATGATGATTGTGATGGTGGTGATGATGTTGATGACGATTTTGCTGCTGATGATGCTGATGATGCTGATGATGCTGATGCTGATGATGCTGATGATGATGATGATGGTGATGATAATCATCATGAGGACGACGACGACAATAATGGTAATGCTGGTGCTGCGGATTATGATGATGATGCTGATGCTGTTGATGATGATGACGATGATATTGACGATGCTGAGAGTGATGATGCTGATGCTGATGATGCTGATGATGCTGATGATGTCGATGATTATGATGAAGACGATGACGCTGCCGCTGATTGAAATAGTAGTGATGATGATTAGGACGATGATGATGTTGCCGAGGATGGTAACGATGATGATCATGCTGATGATGCGGATTATGATGATGCTGCTGATGATGATGTCGATGATGATGATGATGCTGATGATGGCGACGATGACGATGATGATGGCGATGATGGCGGCGACGATAATGCTGATGATGACGATGATGGTGCTGCTGCTGATGATGATGATGATGATGATGATGATGATGATTCTGCTGATCATCATGACGATGCTGGTGCTGATGATGCTGATGATGATGCTGGGGTGATAACGATGATGGTGATGATGGTGATAGTGATGATGCTCATGCTGATCTTCATGATGATGCTGATGATGATGCTGATGATGATGATGCTGATGATGATGATGACGATGATGACGATGATGATGCTGCTGCTGATGATGATGATGATGATGATGATGCTGATTGTGATGATGATGATGATGATGATGCTGATGATGATGATGATGATGATGATGATGATGATGACGACGATGACGATGCTGCTGATGCTGATGATGATGATGATGATGATGATGATGATGATGCTGATTTTGATGCTGATGCTGATGCTGATGCTGCTGATGATGCTGATGCTGATGATGATGAGGAGGAGGAGGAGGAGGGTGGGAGGAGGAGGAGGGCGGGAGGAGGAGGAGGGGGAGAGGTGAGGGGACAGACTAGGCGCCCTCGCGCCTCATCTGACATCCTATTTCTCCTTCCCATCCCCGCCCATCGCGTTGAGTTTCCTCGATCCGTGGAAACTGGTCATAGTCGACCTGCGACTCACACAGAAAGGCCACTTCGTATTTTATGCGCAATCGGAAACATGGGGAGCTGCGTGCACAGGAGGAGGATGGGGTGGCGGGTGAGCAGGAGGATGAGCGAGAGGAGAGGATAACGAACAGCAGCAGCAGGAACTACAGCGGAAGAATCGGGGGGGAAAGGAGGACCAGGGAAAGGTGGAGGAGGGGAAACGGAGGGGACGACAACGATGAGTCCATATTCGGATTCAGTCAAGTGACCCGCGCTGGGGCGACATGAACAGCAGCAGCATGAACGGGAGTGGAAGGAGCGGGAGGAACAGGAGGACCAGGGGAAGGCTGAGGAAGGGGCATGATAGGCGCGGTGCCACAAGGAAGCAAGACTCGGATCCGGAAAAGTGGCACGCGCTGGTGCGAGAGTACCATTCCGAATGACGGGAGCAACACGCCGATCCGAAAATGAAGCTCCCGCCGCAGGTGCAGACACCAAACACAATTGCAAGGTAAAGCGCCATAATCACATCATAGTTGGAAAGCATGTAGGTAGAAACAGCACGCGGAGGGGGCGGGAGATCTTGCGGGCATCTCCAGGGGAGGAAGGAGAGTCGTGATCATATTGTTTGATGATAGGAAGAGTTTGCAACTAAGCATGCAGTCGACAGCAGCACGTGCACTGCGATCCTACTCCTCCTTCACCTCACTCCTCCTGCCCCTCCCTCCCCCCCTTCCCCTCCACCCTCCTCCCTCCTCGCACCCTCTCCTTGACCTCGTTTCCCTCCTCCTGCCCCGCTCGTCCGTCTCGCGCCCGCAAGCAGGTCCTACCGCGGCTTCGTGTGCCTGGTTCAGATCTCAACGCGGCGGAAAGACTTCATCCTCGATCCTTTCGGCATGTTCTCGGAGATGCACATGCTGAACGAGATCCAGTTGCGCTGTCGTGCATTCCCGCCACTGCGCATTGCTTGCAGATCTGGGCGGCGTGCGCGCGCGTGCGTGCATGCATGCGTGCGTGCGTCTGTGCGTGCGTGCGTGCGTGCGTGCGTGCGTGCGTGCGTGCGTGCGTGCGTCTGTGTGTGTGTGTTGTGTGTGTGTGTGTTGTGTGTGTGTGTGTGTGTGTGTGTGTGTGTGTGTGTGTGTGTGTGTGTGTGTGTGTGTGTTTTGTTGCGCACTTCCACACAACTCGAGTCACCGCCTCGAGCCGCACGGTCCCCGGGCTCGACGGAGCCCCCCCTCAGAGCTCGACGGAGCTCTCCCGCGTTTGGAGCCGCGCCCAGGGGCCACCCGAAGGGATGGGCCACCCTGAACGCCGCCTCGGCGCCCGCCACAGCGAGCCCACCAGCTGCCCGACGCCCGCTCACGGCCGCGGCCGCTGAAGCAGGGGCCTGCCCGTCGTCGGGTGCAAGCCGTCGCGGATGCGGTCGCTCCTGCGCCGCCGCTCCCGCTCTGCCGGCGTCGGCCGCTCGGCCTTCCCTGGGCACGGCTGCCCCAGCAGCACCGTCCGCTTGGCCGCGTAAGCGCCGCACTCGGTGCACACCGTGTAATTAGCCGTGCAGGTCCTCGACCAAGCGGAGCTTTCCCTGCGACTGCGGCGGCGGCACAGCGCCGGCAGCGCTGGCCGAGGGCCGCTCTTGGGCCCCTCGCGGCGCCTCAGCCCGCGGTCGCACCGCGGCGGACTCCTCCGCCTGCGCCGCCGCGCTCCGAGCACGCACCCTGGTCGCCTCGCGCACCAGCGCACGGGTGCATTGCCGAGCAGCTGGCGGCTCGCCCCCGTTGCCGCCAGGGCTGGCCCCGCGCCCGCGACGGCAGCCCCTCCCTGCTGCATCGGCTGGCGGTGGCTGCCCACTGGCCTCTACACCGCCGTCTCCAGCTTCCTGTTGGGCAGCGCCCCAGGCCGCCGCGGCGACCGCCAATGCCAAGCTCGCCGAGGCCCCTCCCAGCGAAGCTGCCGGGCTAGCCGGCGAGTGGGACCGACGCCGCCCCTGCCCACCCAGGTCGAACTCCAAGTCATTGTGCTCGTCCTCGCACGGCGCCCCCTCGGGCCACACCGGCAGGCAGGTCGGGCGATTTCCAGAAAATCCTTGGACTTCCCTGCCGCAGCGCGGCGCCCCGCAAAGGCGCGGGTCAGGGCTGGCTGTTGGGCCCGCCGAGGGCGCGCCCGAAGCCGTGGCTCGGGCCGAACGAAGGGGGGGGAATTGGGAGCGGGGGGGGTACGAAATTTGCTGCAGGCAGCTGGTTTCTGCCCCACCGAAAGGCCCATTCCTCGATACACGGCCGCCTCCGGCGCCGGGAGGCGCCGGGCAAATCAGCTACGTGAGCTGATTTTTAAACCTCCCCTTTGCTATCCCCCCTTTCGCCCAGCCCGAGTGGCGTCTGCTCGGGCACTCGCGCGGGCCGCCTCGCCCCAACCTCCAAGTCGAACTCGATGTCGCTGTACTCGTCAAGGGTGGCCCAGTCGCCAAGCTCCGTGGCCTGGCTGGCAGCCAACACCGCCGCAGCCTGGGTGGGAAGACGGCCGGGGGCCCCATCTTCCCAAATGCTGCGGCCTGCGACGAGCCTGGCATGTCCGCCCTGTGGAACAAGGCCCAGCGCCGTGCCCTCCGTGCCCGCCCCCGAGGCTGTTGGCCCGGCCGCCAAGGCCTCTTCCCGTGCCAGGTTGCCTGACCGCGGCGCTGGCAACCGCCCGCTCGATGACGCCTGAGAAGCCGCCGCCGAGGCCGCCAGGGACGCCTCCTGGCGCGCTGGGAGTGGCGGCGGTTCCGGGCAGGGCCGTCGGGGGGCCGCAGCTGCGTTCCCGACCGCGCCCTGTCGCCCGACGGAGGGGGCCACTGGCCATCCTCGGGAGGGGGCGCTGGCCCCCGAGCCTCCTCCTCCGTCCTTCGACGTGTGGGCGACGGGCCTTGGCCGACGGGGCCCTTCCTCCCTCGTCCCATCTCCGTCGGAAGCCCCCCTCCTCGGGGGTGCACGGCGACGCCTCTCGCTCTCGAACCTTGCGCGCAGACGTCAAGAGGAGATCGTGATCGCCCGGGGCCGCGCGGGCGGCTGCCGCCGAAACCGCCCAGGCCGCCTCGGGGCGCGATGGGGCCGCCGCCGATGCCCCCACGGGGCCTCCTGCCACGATCTCCAGAGCCGCCTCGGAGATCGCGAGCGTCTGGGGCCGTCCCAGGAGCTGCTGGGGCCACCGAGGGTGCCGCTGCGGCCGTCGGGGCCGCCTCCGGGCGCTCCTGCAACGCCGCCAGCCTCAAAGAGGCCGCCTGCTGGGCCTGCCCGCCTTCTGGCCACCTTCTCGCTCGTGCTGGCTGGCTCCACTGACTGCCCCGCCTGCGCGGGCGCCGCCTGCAACGCGTCGACGCGTTCCTCGCCGAGTGCCTCCTGTGTGTGTGCGTGTGTGTGTGTGTGTGTGTGTGCGTGTGTGCGTGCGTGTGTGTGTGTGTGTGTGTGTGTGTGTGTGTGTGTGTGTGTGTGTGTGTATGCGTGTGTATGCGTGTGCGTGCGTGCGTGCGTGCGTGCGTGCGTGCGTGCGTGCGTGCGTGCGTGCGTGCATGCGTGCGCGTGTGCGCGTGCGTTTGTGCGTTTGTGCGTGTGTGTGTGTGTGTTTACCTGTGTGCCTGTTTGTATGTGCGCTTGCCAGCCCCGCAGATACGATCCCCAGACCGCCCTCCCCAGCGAAGATTTGCTCGAACGCCTGCACGACGCCAGGCAGAGGGCGGGGTAGCCTGACCTATGGAAAGAGTTCCTTCACAACGTTGCCCCCAGGGGCGCTCCCTTCCTGCACACTGACTCCCCGCTCCATGATCCCAAGCTTGTCGAGTCCAGGCCATGCTTCATGGATGGGAGTCCAGGCACCTCGAAGGCTAGCACTCTCTGCCCCGCGGCCAGCACCTTGACGTCGCCCAGCGCTTCGTCAGCGAGCAGCCCAGGGCCACCTCGTGGCGTCCAGTGTGGAGCGCCACCGCTCCCGACGAGCCGTCTGCCCTTCCAGCTCGTCCAGGCGCGGCTGGGGGTAGCCCCCCCGCGCTTGAACGACGGGTGGCGTCGGAGGACCCGGCCACTCCAATCATTCAGCGCCTCCCCAACCCCACTGGCGCCCCACCCTCGCGCGAGGCTACTCCCGGTCCGCGTGCCGAGCCTGTGGGCACCTCACCCGAGGAGACCGTCACAGTCGCCCGTCGCACGTCGGGTGACCTTCATGCGCAGTCCGCCTCGCGAAGCTTACGTGGCCCCCCCGCCCCCCGCCCCTGCCAGCCCGCCTGCGCGACGGCAGCGCGCCCCCCACTCCAGGTGACGCGAGCGAGCGGGCGCAAGCTTCACGGGCCCTTTGGTCGCCACCCTAGCCGCGGCGAGGCCCACGCCCCCGAGCCCTCTGCCTCCCCCTGGGGGGGGGACCTGCGGCTGCCGGGGTCAGGCTCGCTCCCCTCGCTCCCGAGTGCACTCGGGGCGCCCCAGGGAACTGGCCAGTCCACGGCTGTGGCGACGCTGGCGACACGCGGCCCTCTGGCAACGCCCCAACGCCAGCCTCCGAGGTCGAGCCCCAGCCCCGGCAGCCTATCGGTGGGATGTCGCCATTTTGGCGACTGGCCAGAGACCAGAGCGTTCAGGAGGGGTCCTTCTGGTCGGGGAGAAAGCAGCGCAGGGTGATAGGTCAACTCTCAACTGGAGCGAGAATTGTCACACCAATTCGACAGTTCGGACATGATCTGGATCACATCTCAGTAAGCGTGTGCAAACATTGTCAAACGGAAAACAACCCATGGCATTCGCAAGCAAGTCGTTCTCAGGTGCCCACTCCCACGCTAATCAATTCGAAACCGTGGAGCGTAATTAGAATAAGCTCTCCCCCGCCTTGCATCTGCTGTACGAGTCCCACTGTGTGAACAACTGTGGTGGCATTCGCCCTGCCAGTGAATTACCCTGGGTGTGCATCTATGATTTGACCTGCCCTTGTTAAACTTCCTGGGGCTATCAAGCCCCGTTGCGCGATTCCCCCCCCACTTCTTCACCCCTCAGTTGTCTTCCTTGCCATCGTGCGCCTAATGAAGGGACGTTCTTACAATCGTCGCTTTCCACCGTTGCCGTCTTCACCACCGTTGCCTTCCATGTCGCCGGCAGGTTTCTTAGAATCGTTGTTCGTGCTACGTGTGGGGCTGCGCGTACGAGGGGGGGGGGAAAGGCGGACACAAATGGAGGCGGGCAAAGGGAGGGGGACAGGCGGGAAGCTCACCAGAACAAAGAGGAACAGGAAGAGTGCACCCAAGCGTGATCATGCCAACTATTTCCGTCGACGGTCATGCGCGAGTTTGGTTCTGGGAGATCACCGCCACCGCGAGGAGGAGGCCAGTGATTTATTGGGTGGGCCCTATGACCTAATTCGCGCGTTGCCGTCGACGGAAGAACCCGTCATGCCACAACTCACATCTGTCATACGCGGGCTCGGAGCGAAATCGGGTGCGAGTGCTTCTGCGTGCAGGTCTTGTGCCAATTTCCATTTCGACGAGCATAAACGAATCACCAATGATATTCATAGGTCCGGCACGCACCAGCCGCAGCCAGGAGCGGTGGCGGATCTTTAGCGATCCAAGCATATCCGAGGGTCCTGCGCCAGTCACCCGATCGCCCCTTTGTCAGGAGGTAGGTTTCAATTTGGGCTTGTAAAGTTTTGCGCTCCCTTGCAGCCCCTGTAACTCAGCCTCTTGCCTACGATACAGCGTTGGACAGGCATGAAGAGCAGGCCGAGGCGGAGGAGGAGGAGGAGGAGGAGGAGGAGGAGGAAGAGAAGGAAGAGGAGGAGGATAATAGCGATCATGTGGTCGTAGTCCGTGCAAAAGTGGAAGACAATAGACGCTGCGCTCATCCGATTCTAGTCCGTGCAAAGTGGGAGGAGGAGAAGAGGAGCAGGAGCAGGAGCGGGAGGAGGAGGAGGACGAGGAGGAGGAGAAACAATGATAGTAGTAGCAATCGAAATACTAAGAACAATCTTGATAATAAGAATAATATTAATAAGAAGAAGAAGGGGGAGGAGGAGGAGGAGGAGGAGGAGGAGGACGAGGAGGAGGAGGAGGAGGAGGAGGAGGAGGAAGGGCAGGAGTTGGTGGTGGAGGAGGAGGATGAGCTGGTGGTGGTGGTGATGGTGGTTGTGGTGGTGGAAGAGGGGCAGGAGGAGGAGGAGGAGGACGAGGATGAGGACGAGGAGGAGGAGGGGGAGGATGCAGCAGCCTGGCAGCAGCACCCGCCAGCAGTTCCCTAAACAGCGCATGCGTGGGCCGACACCTCCGGTTTTCAGACAATTCGCGCACTGTTTGGTGTGATCGGCTGTTTGGGAGCTCCTCGATGGGGTGCAAGCGCGCTGCCGGAAATTAGTGGGTACGAAACGGATCTCACATGCCGGATGAAACGAACGAAGTCTGTTTGTTTCGTATTTCGCGCGGTGTCGGGTTCGAGGCTGAAGAGGCCGTGCCAGCCAGCGAGCAGCCTTCGAGGAGCGTCCGTTAATATTGCCACCGCACCGTAGCTGCAGGAATATGAGGACCCATTGGTTCCCCGCGGGCCCGGGGGTCCCCACCCAACAAAAACAATCCAGCCAAAGGGCCGACGGAAACCTGCTGCTACAAAACGGTGTTGTTTTCTGTTGTTCTTCGTCGAGTCCGCGTCGGAAACGTTGCTCACACAGATTAGATGATACAGAATCTGGACCGGTTTGTATCTTGCACGGTGTCTTATTCGAGGCTCGGAGGCCAAGCGAATCTTTGAAAACCAACGGAAGATGACCGTTCGGATTGCCACCGCACTGAGGCGCCAGAGGACATGTAGATCGGAATGTGTTCCTTGACGTGGCTTGCAGCTACTCCTTCGGAACGCGTGATTGGGGTCATGCTGGGGTTATTTGTGGCAGGGTTTCCTCTTCTTCCTATCGCATCCGTATTTTGCCATCTCGCGTTAAAGGCACAACAGGTTCAGGCCCGCGCTCAAGCCGCTTCTCCTGTGCATCTGCGGCGCACATGTCATGGGTCTGATGTTGCCACGAAAATATGAGCGCGTGTCCTTGATTCTAGCACGAGTTGGGGTTGAATCCAGAGTGTGAGTTTGCTTAACGTTTTCCAGTTTGTTTGTGCACGGCAACGGAGTGAAGTATCGCACCTTTCTGGCTTGAGTTGCTGCCCGAGGGAAAAGCACGGACATCCGACCTCGAGCTGGTGTGAAGCAGGTCGTGGGTTAGTGCTGGACCCATTCGTTCCGTATACAAAACCCGGCGGAAATTCTTGGGCCGCCCTGCTCAGCAGATGACGCAGCGAAGGTCTTTTGATGGCGCCATTTTCGATATCTCATTGCGTAGCTTGTTGAAAAGAAGAGGCGATGGAAGATTATTCCGAAAGTTGAATGACATCCCGACGTTGCTGCACCCATGGATTTTCCCGCTGGGGTTCAAGACGATGCACCAGTCTCCTCCCGCTAAGGTACTCCAGGCCGCCGTACTTGCTGCCCAGGGGACTCTGTGGCTGAAGTCGCACTGGCGTGAACCACGCGGGCGCGCAGTTTTACGCGTTTCACCAGAAAGCGAGGCCCCTGCCATTCCCACGGAACCCCCCGACGTAAAAGACACGTTTTTTTCGCGACCTAGTAAATCGCCAACGATGGTTGTATCTTGGGCCGCAATGTCCCGACGCGGGATGCGTGTACCAATGGTGGTGTGGATTCCGCTACGTCGGCATCGCTACGGTACCGACTGGCACGCCGTTGGCCCCTTGTAGAACTCTGCTTCCTATTCGCTTGTGTTGGGGACTTCAGCCCCATGGGGTCCATCGAGTCGGCGGAGATCGCCGCGCACAGGCCGAATGGCAATACACGACCAGGTCCACAGGTTCGGGGCCGTGTCAAAGGTCGTCGCTGGCATCCTCCGCCGCAGTTTCGGCGGGAACCTGGACCGACGGTCGGCCTGCCGGAAGCCCCAGCGCACCTTGCGCGCCCATGGCGTCAGAAATGGGGACCTGCGCATGATGACCGCGCAGAGGCCGAAGATGTGCTTCACGTGCGGTACAGTGATGCTTGCAGTGATGCTTGCAGGTGGCTCCATCGAATCGCCCATGCCCAAACCAGGGAGGTTGGCCTCCTTTGGCTGCGCGATTGGCGATATCGTGCCTTGGCAGCTTTGTGGGGCGGCTCCTTACGCTGAACACTAGACAGGGCTTTTTCCCAGGACGACTTGGGGGATGAGGTGCCCTCAAGTTCACGCTGCGCGTTTGGCATATCGTGCCAAACGCGATTGGCGCAGACGTCGTCCCCGACGAGCCGTGGACGAGGCCATGCGGCACGCAGGCCTGCCATCTTTGCAACCGATACGAATCGAAGTGCCCGAACGATGGTCGCTGCATGCCGTGGGCCGCATTGCCCAGCGTGCCATTGTTTCATCCGCGTGGCTCGCAGAATTGAGGGGTCCGTCGAAGGTCCGGATCATAGTATCATGCGGGCCCCCATTGCAGAATCTCACCCCGAGGTGCGGCCGCAAAATCTTGCAACGACGAAGTTTTTCTCGATACTTGCCCAGTGCAGCCGAGGATCTTCAAAGTGATGTCTCTGGACACACGCTACGACTGGTGCATTGTTCGTCCGAGTTCTGACGCGGTTTTGACGCTGGAGAAAATCGCAGAGTCGCGCGCATTAGCAGTCTTCGAGGCTCTTCGGGCAGTTGGCATACATAACACATGCCGTCACCGCTATGATCTGCGCAGCCTAGCTGGGTCCAGCAACGCTCTCGAAAGCACCTTCGAAAATTTGGGCGCCAGCCAGCAGGCGCATGACGACTTCGCTGCCCGACAAATTCAAGGGGCGCGTGTGGATCGCACGGCGTTCCACCTTGGCCACCTTGCTCGCCTTCCGCGCTGTCGCGTGGACGCCGGCTTGGGCTTCCGGCTTAGATGCGTCTGGACTCGTGCGCCGCGGCCTTCGCCAGGTATTAATTTCGACTCTTTAGGGGTAACTCGGCATCCATCAGTGCGTCAATATCATCTTGCATACTTCTCTGCTTGTAAAGTCGACAAGTTAGAAACATTTAAACGATATAGACTGCCGATGGTCCTGCGCAGACGGTGCGAACAGCTTTTGCAACACGCGTTGTAGTTTTCAGTGGGCGGGGGAAGGAAGCCGCGTGGCGGTCGTTGCATGGAGGCTTTGATCTTATACTGCGACGCTGCAACGCTGCCTTCGAATTTTGGTCGTCGGCGGCTGCGGCTGCCGGCGTTCGAGGCGACTTCCGAGGAGTGGTCGCGGCGCCGTGCCAGACGCCTTCTCGGTGTCTCCAAGCGCGGCCACCCTTGTCAGGGATAGTCGGGGACGCCGGACAGTTCTGCGAGAAGATTGGCACCCGGAAGGCTGCGACAGATGTCCGGTGGGGTTTGTTTGCAGTTTTACGCGCGCAGCGAGTTGAACAACGCCCCCGGCCGGGCGTCGTCGCAGCGCGGAACTGCCAAAAATGCGCCGTGCGCTTTGGTGCCCTTTGGGGCGCCAATCCCAGAAGTGGACAGTTTAGACTTTCTCTGACCTTTTTGTGGCACTTTGGGCGGCGATCACCGTCCCGTTCGGTACGTTTGGCGATGCCCTGGCGGTGTTGGTCGGGCTACCCATCGGAGGCCCACTGGTCAAAATAGCAATGTCCCACGTGTCAGGGCGGGCGGGGCGCATCTGGGACACGAGCTCTTGTTGGAGTGTATCCGCCGGTCTTGGCTCGCGGACATGGCGGGCGGTGGTCGATCGACGACGCTGCGTCGACGATGTCATCTTGCCGTCGCCGTTTTCGCGCGGCGCATGCCTGGAGTTCGCTCTCCCCCCAAATCTACGCTACAGAGTTCAGGGTTGAGCCTGCTTCAACTATGATATGGCTAGACATGGCAATCGCTTTCGACACTCGAAAACTTGGCACAACACGAGAACCCATTATTCTCCCGCCACCTGCCGCGCGTGAGGTGGGGCGCCTACGCATGGTTCTCACCCCGATGGTTTTGCGGTGGATCGAGCTGCGCCTCGACGAGGCTGCCTGGGTCCACGACTGGATCGATGCAAGATCGGATTTGCGCCGCCTGGGATGGCCAGCGCGGACAGTGCGTAGAGTATTCTGGACTGTGCAGACCCGTCGGTTCCAGGCATGCACGCGGGTGATGATGTCTACCATTAGAGAAGTATGGGCCCGTGTTTGACCGCGGCTTCCCCGCCGCCGCTGCCAGCTCGGCTCAAGCAAGCGGTTGGGATTGCACGCGGCGACCTTGATCTGCAGCGCGGCGTTTGGGCGCAATGCTGGCGGTGGTTATTGCTCCGTTCTCGCCTTTCTCACCAGTCCGAGTCGGTTGGTCGAAAGGAGGCAGGCGTGGTGGCTTTGGGGCCAATGGGTCATGGGGGTGCAACGGATATCGCCGCGACTCCGGTTAGTGATCCCAGCCGAGCAGGCCCTTTGCTGGGTTCGCCGAAGGGTTCGAGGCTGCTTTGAGGGGTTCCCGCCGCCGTGATCGCGGCAAGAAGAAACGTCATCATGGCTAATATTTTTCCTCATCTCCGTCTCCTCTTCCGCCCGCGCCCGGGGGGGGCGCAGAAAGAACTCGACGCGCTCAGGGAGTTCTCAAGAAGAGCCAAGAGGACATTATGGCAGAAACAGAACGGAAGGAGGATCTCCTAGCTCTCGAGGACCGGCTGGTCGCGGCCATCGCGCGCCCCAGGGCGCCAGAGACGGCGACGCCGGCGCCGGGCACATGGGCCGCCGGGGCAGCGCCTGCGGTGGCTGGACAAGGATGCGCCCGCACCTCTCCGCCATCATCCACGGAAAGGTGCCCGTCGACGCCGTGGCCACGGCGGGAGCGCTCACCCAGACAATTTCGCGCGTCGAGCGCCAGTCGATCCGCGGCGCGGCCAACAAGGAGGTGCTGGCATACCACGCGCAGAGGCGCGCGCTGCTGTCCTGGCTCTCGCCCGGGAGGAGATCGGCGCGTGAGATGCGGATTCCCCCCTTTCCCTGCCTCCGCCTCCCTCGACCCCCCCCCCCTTTCCTCTCTTGCCCTCGTGGAGTTCCAATCAGACCTTGGTGATTAAAGCATCAGCTTGCTGTTTCTCTGCGATTGGTCTCACCCTCTCCATCCTCCTTTCTGGCCCCGCGCGACTCTGCCTGTCTATCTTGGGAAGCCCGCGTGAATACATGCACGCCTTGTGGGTGATCGGTTACAGGAGGGCGGACATCTCCCGAACGATGGACCTTGCCCTCGGCGCCTCATGCGCCCGAGTGCTGCGGGCGTTGTTTGGGCCTGTGCTGGATCGGTCGCTGCGCGCGTCGGCCCGGCGCCGGCGCGGGCTGCGTTGGGCGCGGGGGCTCGGCGCCTGCGCGCGAGGGCCATGGGCCCTTTCCGGAACCAGCGCGCCTGGGCCGACGAGTGCAGCTAGACCCCCCAGAGGGGCCCCGCCACCCCGCCAAGCGAGAGATCGGTATACAGGTACGTATCTCGAATGCAGGTAGGGATCTATCGTAGGATACTACGGGGGTCTCATACGATTGTGATGTTGTGCCGCGGAAGCTGGCGTCCACTTTCCATGTATTCCAGGGAACATGCGAGGCCCCAGATGGCCGCGGAAGTTTGTACAGCACAGCGGGGTTCAGGCCAGAGCGGCGCAGCACATGGATACTTTTCCTTCCCCCCAAAATGACGCCCCGCCCCCCGAATGCCGCGGCCATATCACAATCAGATTTCGGCAAGAGATCAACGCCGAGCCCGGATGTCAACGTGAATGCAGCAGTCTGGCAGCAGCGCCCTCCAACAATTCCATAACAGGGTATGTGTGGGCCGACATTTCCAGTTTTCGGACAATTCGGGCACTGTTTGGTGTAATCGGCTGTTTGGGGATTTTTCGACCGGGTGCTAGCGCGCTGCAGCAAAGTCGCGGGCACGAAACGGGTCACACATGCCAGATGACACGAACGAAGTCTGGCTGATTCGTATCTCGCGCGGTGTCGCGTTCGAGGCTGAAGAGGCCGCGCCAGCCACCGAGCAGCCTTCGAGGAGTGACCGTTTTGATTACCACCGCGCCGTATCTGCAGGAATACTAGGACCTATTGGTCCCCCGCGTGCCTGGGGCCCCCACCAACAGAAAGCATGCCAGCCAAATGGCCGACGGAAGCCTGCTGCTACAAAGCGGCCTTGTTTTCTGTCGTTCTTGCGCCAGGTCCGCGTCGGTAGCACTGCTCGCACAGATCAGATGAAACAGAATTTGGGCCGATGTGTATATTGCACGGTGTATTATTGAGGTTCGGAAGCCAATCGGCCCTCTAAAAGCAAATGAACAGTGACCGTTCGAATTGCCACCGCACTGAGTCGCCAGAGGAAATGTACATCGTAATATTTTCCCTGACGCGGTTTGCAGCTATTATTCCAGAGCGCGTGAATGGGACATGGCGGGCTTATTTGTGGCATGATTTCTTGTTTCTCCCATCGCATCCGTATTCTGCCATCTCGCGCTCAAGGCGCATCAGGTTAAGGCCAGCGCTCAAGTCACTACTCCTGTGCACTTGTGGTGCGCATGTCATGGGCTTGATGTTGCCGCAAAGCAATGAGCGCGCGTCCCTGATTCTAGCAATATTTGAGGTTCAGTCCAAAGAGGAGTAGGAGGAGGAGGAGGAGGAGGAGGAGGAGGAGGAGGAAGTAGAGGAGGAGGAACACGGGGAAGACGAGGAAGACGAGGAGGGAGGAGGAGGAGGCGGAGGAGGAGGAGGAGGAGGAGGAGGAGGAGGAGGAGGAACAAGCAGGCCAAGTATCCGCCTGCGCCCACCCCGGGTTCTGCCCACCCCGCCTGTGCCCCGGCACCGGCGGCCGCGCCCTCCCGGCCGAGCGGCCGAGCGCCGACCGGCCGCGAACCCCCGAAGCCCGTGCCTCAGGGCCCGGGCCGCGGAACGGCGCACGACCGCGGGCAGGGGCGTCCTGCTCCTCGTCGGCCTTCTCCGTCGTCTTCCTCTTCGTGTCGCTTTCTCTCCCTCCCCGCGCTATTCTGCCATTCGTGCCACGTGTTGATCTTCGAAGCCACAGTATGCCATGCAATGCTACGCCATGCTGCGACATCCGACTGCGCGATAAAGAAGTGATTTGCGCCATGGTAACGGATGGGAGGGAGAGGTAGGGCGTCAAACAAGGCGTTTGCGCACCTAGCTTGTCCTCCTTCCCTCCTTCCTCTCCTCTCCCTCCTCCCCTCTCTCCGCTCTCTCTTGTCCTCTCCTTCCCTCTTCCCTCCTCCCCCCTCCGACCCCCCGGTCCTCCCTCGTCCTTCCTCCGCCGCCTCCGCCGCCTCTTCCTGCTCCCCCTCCTCCTCCCTCTCCTCTCCTCCCCTCTTAACCGCCGCCCCCTCTGTCTTCCTTTCCCGTTCCGCTTCAGCACCCGCGCTCTGTCGCTGGGGGGAAGGGAGGAGCTAGAGTTCGAGTTAGAGGAGGAGGAGGAGGAGGAGGAGGAGGAGGAGGACGAGGAGGAGGAGGAGGAGGAGGAGGAGGAGGGAGGAGGAGGAGGAGGAGGAGGAGGAGGGAGGAGGCGGAGGAGGAGGAGGAGCAGGAGGAAGGGGAGGAGGATGAGGAAGAGGAGGAGGAGGAGGAGGAGGAGGAGGAGGAGGAGGAGGAGGAGGGGAGGGAGAAGGGGAGGAGGAGGCCAGGGGCCAGGTGAGGCTGGCGGACTCAAAGTGCTGCACGGGGCGGACAGGGACGTTCTGTGGCTGCAGAGGGACTTTTCCGCCTACATCGTGAACATGTTTGACACCGGGCAGGCGACGCGGGCCATGCGGCTGCAGGGTGGTTTTGGCCTTGCCAATCTCGTGTCTCAGTCGGGGGGCTTGGCCGCTGCACGACGCCAGCCCCCTGCCGTTACAGTCAGCCCGCAGAGTAATGATGAGCGACTTTCCAAGGTTACCCTTGCATCCTTCCCCTTTGGCTTAAGGCGGGCCTGTCTCTCCACAGGAGGAGTAGTACATTACCCCAGTGCGACCCTACCTAGAAGTTGGACCCCCTAGGAAAGCAGCATTAGTTGCTGTGCTATGCTATGCTATGCCATGCTATGCTGCGCTATGCTATGTTATGCTATGCTATGATATGCTGCGCCATACTATGCTATGCTATGGTATGCGATGCTAAGCTATGCTATGTCATGCTGTGCTATGCTAAGCTATGCCATGCTATGCTATGCTATACTTAACTATACTATGTTATACTATGTTTGGCTATGTTATGCTATGTTATGCTATGCTAATGCAGCGCTGCACTATGCTAAGCTAAGCTAAGCTAAGCTAAGCTAAGCTAACCCTCTAGGCAGAGCCTAGGTATGTAATTACACCCATGCTAATGCTCTGCTCTGCTCTGCTATGATATGCTATGCTATGCTGCGCTGTGCTATGCTGTGCTGTGCTGTGCTGCGCTATGCTATGCTATGCTATGATATGCTGCGCCATGCTATGCCATGCTGGGCTATGCTATGATATGCTATGCTGCGCTATTATATGCTACGCTAGGCTATGCTCTGCTGTGCTCTGCTGTGCTAAAGCTCAGCGACGCTAAGCTGACTGTAAGTTTAACTAAGATGCACCTGAGCTCAGATGAAGCTATGCTAAGCTAAGATGCAATAAGATAAGCTAAGATGCGATAAGCAACGCGAAGGTAAGGGGACGTAACTGGGGGAACCGCGGGGCGGATCCTGGGGGAACCGCCCGGGGCGAGGACCACTGCCCGGCCCTTTAAGCTCTAAAGTAAGAACCCTTCTAGGCAGAGCCTAGGTAGGGAAACATAGACATTTCGCCTGGGGACGATATTTCTACTATGTTTGATTTTGTGTGTTTGTGCTTTTGACTATGTTTCATTTGTCCTTCAATATCCGCCTCTAGGAGGACATGTCCGACCTAACCTTTGGCCCATTCTCGGCCGATTTCGCTGTCCGCGCCCCGCCCGCAACGTGTCGGCATGGCCTCCAAAGGTCCTTACATCTTTGTCGTGCGTCTTTCTTTTGCGGGTTGACTGTAAGTCAAGGCTCGTTTGGATTAGATCTGTTCTCGTCTGCTTGTTCTTACTTCTCCTTCCTCCGTCCTCCCAGGAGTCTCCAGGGCTCTCCCCTCGAAGCCTCTCGATTCTGCTTCTCGGGCTCTGCGAAACACGTAAGCGAAGCAGAACACGGGTTCGTCTTCACCAGCCTGACCAGCAGCACAGCAGCTGCCTCCGGGGAGACTTCGCGTCGGACTGCGTGGGCTGTGCGAAGCAAGCGCTATTTACACAGGTCGAGCGGGGTCGAAGCGTCCTGGCTTTCCTGAAGACCCGCCAGATGTTCTAAGAACCTTTTGTGGTCTACATGAACTGTTCGCAGAACATGTTTGGTTGAGACTGTCTTGTTTTAACGCATCGGGTTTCTGCTCTAAGGGCAACACTTTTGTTACTAGAACATTTTTGGGTTCGAAGACTATTTCGTGGAAGCCTCACCAACAGCACAGGCTCCACCTCCAGGGAGTCCATGTCGGACTGCGGGGGCCTTGCGAAGCACGTGTTATTTAGCAGGGATCGTACCATCCAGCCTCCACCCTCACCAGCAGCGCAGACTCTACTTCCATGGAGGTTTGGCCGGACTGCCCGGGCTGTTCGAAGCACGTGTTATTTGCCAGGGATCGTGGTCTCCAGCCTCCACCAGCCTCACCTATGGCGCAGATTCTCCTTCAGGGAGGCTGTGTTGGACTGCGCGGGCTATGCGAACCACGTGTTATTTATCAGGGATGGTGCCTTTCCTTCTCCACCAGCCTCGCCGGTGGCACAGGGTCTATCTCCAGGGAGGCCGTTTCGGGCTGTCGGGCTGCTCCAGAGAGATTTGGGGGGGCCTCCACGCGATGGCACGGTGGAGAGGGGAGGGGGGGCACGCGTGTGTTTGGAGATTTGGGGGTTCCTCCGCTGGGGGGTGGCGTGTTTTTGCGGCGTCAAGCTCGACAAGAAGTACCAGACCGCGGACTGGCGGGAGCGGCCGCTGCCCAAGGAGATGCTGTATTACGCGCGCTGTGACACGCACTATCTTCTGTACTGCTACGACTGCCTGAG